GTATAACTATGATAATTGTCATACTATGTTCCATTTTAAAATAAAAACAACAAAAAATATATATGTATGTATATATGCATATTATTTTATAACAATGAAAGTACTCAAAACACTTAGTTTTCAACACCTTAACACCATCAGCAAAAAGAAGAACAACATCATTATCATCATCATAACTAACGCCAACATTGTCCTTATCATAGACCATCAGTTAAATAAAAGTCCTTTGAAGTGTATAATATATACACACATACAGATGTTTAGGTGTCTGGATGTATGTATGTATGCATGGTTGTTCGTAATACTGTTGTAATATTTTTGCTCTACTTCAATTTTATAATGGTTTTCAAATCATTAGTACTTATAACGGGTGTTGTTTGCTAATACAGTGATGGTTATAGATATGGTGATATCGATGCATATAATGAAAAAAAGTGTTTTTGTAAAGAAATTTATGTTTATGAAAAAACTAATTTACGTTTCGTCTATAGTCTGAACTTAAGTATTGTCAGGACAGTAGTCTCACCTGAAGTCTTATCTATAGTTTGAACTATTTTATCATCTGTTGTTTGAACCATAGTCTCATCTATAGAGTCTTCTGTAATCGTGTCTATAGTTAAGACTATAGTTTGGACTGTACTCTTGTCTATAGTTTGATTATAGTCTTGCCTATAGCTTGGATTATAGTCTTGCCTATAGTTTGGACTATAGTCTTGACAATAGTCTAGACTATCCTGGACTATAGTCTTGTCTATAGTCTTGTATATAGTCTTGTCTATAGTCTTGTCTATAGTCTGGACTATAGTCATGTCTATGGTCTGGACTATAGACATGTATATGGTCTGGACTATAGTCTTGTCTATGGTCTAGAATAAAGTCTTATTTATAGCATGGGCTATAGTCTTGTCTATAGTCTGGCTATAGTCTAGACTATAGTCTTGTCTATAGTCATGTCTATAGTCGGGATTATAGTCTAGTTCATATTTTGGACAATATTTTAGACTATAGGAAGTCCTGTCTATAGTCTGGACTGTAGTCACATGTACATATATACAGGACTGTAGTCTCATCTAAAGTTTGGAAATAATCTGAACTACATTATCGTCTTTAGGTATTCTCATTTAGAGTGTAGACCATAGTCACTTTTGAAGTCCTGATATTAGACTAGTTTATAATTTCGATTGTAGTCTCATCTATAATTTGAAGTATAGTCTGGTCTAAAGTATGAACAGTAGTCTGACTTATGTTCTATCTATAATCTGGACTATATATTAGCTTATAGTCTTGTCAGAAGTATAGTCTCATCTATAGTCTAACTTCAAAGTCAAAGCAAATCATTGAAATAAATTTGTCAATTAATTCGATTGGAATACTGAACAATGTCCCAACTTCTTTGACCTGTCACTATGAAATTTACCGTTCCTTAGTTAGTGTTGCTGGTGTTGTGCTGTTGACATGTTGATTGTTTTAAAAAGGCACTTTAGATTGTCAAATATGTCTCATGTACATACAATGTACAAACAACACTTTTGCATAAAACAAAATGTATGTACTTCGTTTGTCATTCATATTTCTTTATGTTTGTGTGTATGTAACGTCATTAGGAGGTGACACCTTGGCCAATAATTAGTTATACTCAAACGTAAACCTTTTGAAATTGTAATGAACTTCTCTATTTTAAGACCAATAGATTTCGATTGCAATACTTCTTTAGATCGGATCTAGTTCTACACTTTATACTTACATGAAAATATCCTAGGAGGATATCAACCTTTTGAATGCTTTGTTACACTTGGGAATTAATCAGTCCAAAATGTACTACATATGTATTTTGGAACCACCCTAATATTGATAGCTTTTAAAGTCACTTACATACACCGATACCAGGTTAATTTTTATTATTTACTTATTTATCCAAGGAAAATGACAGACTCCCTCTCCTTCTCTGGCACAGCACACATATTTTCAATGTATGAGTTTTTTTGAACAACTTCTTTTTTTAACAGGGAAATTAGATTTATTCATAATAGTATTTTGGACCTTTTAACATATTGTTGTCATCATATTAATATGATTTTAAAAGCATTAAAGTTGTTCTAGTTCTTTTTTTCCTGTTTCCGTTTGTTTTATTGTTCCTCTTGCCAAAAGGAGACAATAAATGCTGGAATGATGTATCGTCGTTGCCTGTGTGTGAATGTAAAAAATATGGAAAAAAACATAAAAACCACCACTTTTAATTTTGACCGGAAATTAAAGGAAATTGTTGTGTCATTTTCCATGTACACAGCTTAAAAGTTTGATAAGTGTTAAAAAAAATCTGTTTAAAATTGTGCAGCTTAAAATTGGAATAATTGGTTAAAGGCAATTTGATATGGGTAATTATGAGAACAATATGTATAAAAGGATGTAGATGGAGTAGGTTTAATATTTTATTTCTTAGATTATAGAATGATGTGAAAGATATTATTGTCCAAAAAAATTAATATGTCAGCAGGTATTTAATTGTTTAATAAGGGTTAATATAGGATGATTATAATATAACAAACTGCTCTAAATCCCCCAAAAAGTCCTGGGAAATTGTTAAAAAATATTTTTTGTTTTGTGTTTATTACGCATACTAGGGACTAGATAAACGAAACCTTTTAGAATTTATACTTATAAACTCATTTTGGACATTAAAGTCCATAATCAAAAAGTTTCTGGTTTATTGATCTTGTCAAACCATTTTAACTCATCAAAATATTGGTCTAACACCCACAAAAACGTGCACATTAGATCCTTATTATATCTAAACTAGACTATAGACTAGACTATAGACTAGACTATAGATTAGACTATAGACTAGACTATAGACTAGACTATAGACTAGACTATAGACTACACTATAGACTAGACTATAGACTAGACTATAGACTAGACTATAGACTAGACTATAGACTAGACTATAGACTAGACTATAGACTAGACTATAGACTAGACTATAGACTATACTATAGACTAGACTATAGACTAGACTATAGACTAGACTATAGACTAGACTATAGACTAGACTATAGACTAGACTATAGACTAGACTATAGACTAGACTATAGACTAGACTATAGACTAGACTATAGACTAGACTATAGACTAGACTATGGACTAGACTATAGACTAGACTATAGACTAGACTATAGACTAGACTATAGACTAGACTATAGACTAGACTATAGACTAGACTATAGACTAGACTATAGACTAGACTATAGACTAGACTATAGACTAGACTATAGACTAGACTATAGACTAGACTATAGACTAGACTATAGACTAGACTATAGACTAGACTATAGACTAGACTATAGACTAGACTATAGACTAGACTATAGACTAGACTATAGACTAGACTATAGACTAGACTATAGACTAGACTATAAGACTAGACTATAGACTAGACTATAGACTAGACTATAGACTAGACTATAGACTAGACTATAGACTAGACTATAGACTAGACTATAGACTAGACTATAGACTAGGACTATAGACTAGACTATAGACTAGACTATAGACTAGACTATAGACTAGACTATAGACTAGACTATAGACTAGACTATAGACTAGACTATAGACTAGACTATGACTAGACTATAGACTAGACTATGATATACATAGACTAGACATAGACTAGACTATAGACTAGACTATAGACTAGACTATAGACTAGACTATAGACTAGACTATAGACTAGACTATAGACTAGACTATAGACTAGACTATAGACTAGACTATAGACTAGACTATAGACTAGACTATAGACTAGACTATAGACTAGACTATAGACTAGACGATAGACTAGACTAAGACTAGACATAGACTAGCCTATAGACTAGACTATAGGACTAGACTATAGACTAGACTATAGACTAGACTATAGACGAGACTATAGACCTAGACTATAGACTAGACTATAGACTATACTATAGACTAGACTATGACTAGACTAGACTATAGACTAGACTATAGACTAGACTATAGACTAGACTATAGACTAGACTATAGACTAGACTATAGACTAGACTATAGACTGGACTATAGACTAGACTATAGACTAGACTATAGACTAGACTATAGACTAGACTATAGACTAGACTATAGACTAGACTATAGACTAGACTATAGACTAACTATAGACTAGACTATAGACTAGACTATAGACTAGACTATAGACTAGACTATAGACTAGACTATACTAGACTATAGATACTATAGACTAGACTATAGACTAGACTATAGACTAGACTATAGACTAGACTATAGACTAGACTATAGACTAGACTATAGACTAGACTATAGACTAGACTATAGACTAGACTATAGATTAGACTATAGACTAGACTATAGACTAGACTATGGACTTAGACTATAGACTAACTATCGACTAGACTATCGACTAGGATATAAATATACTATAGACTATAAAATTAGATTATAGATTAGACTATAAAATAGAACCGGACTATAGACTTGACTATAGGCCAGACTATATAACAAACTAAAACGGGACCTCTGGATACTCCCCTTGTTACTTAAATGAGCTCCATAAAATGTTTAAAATTTTTTACATATACAGGTCTGTCACACATTCCGATCGAAATGGTTTCAATTCCGTATTATTATTCCGATCATTTTTGTTTTAGCTTCTCCAAATTCCGAATTATTTCGTAAATTGACAAAAAATGAGTAAAATTATATAGATTTCATTTAAAATTGTTCTTGTTTAGCTAATCAAAACAAGAACCATGTTTTTAGTAAAGGTTCTTATTATTAAAACTAAGAAAAGCGTTAATTACATACAAATATCAATTCCACTTCAAAAACTGAAAGTGGTTTCATTCCGAAAGAATTTTTCGTTTTCTTTTTTAGAAGAAGCAAAAATACGGAAATAATTCCACTTTCGATCGGAATGAAATTCTGTGACAGGCCTGATAATTTATATTTATCTTTTTTCCAATTTTCAGGTGCCTTCCTTGTACCTTATTGTATAATGTTACTAGTTGGTGGCATACCGCTATTTTATATGGAATTAGCTTTAGGTCAACACAATCGTAAAGGTGCCATCACATGCTGGGGACGTTTGGTGCCGTTATTCAAAGGTTTGTTATACATATAAGATTTTAAATAAAAAATAAAATATTAATAAAATCCTTATTCTAGGAATTGGTTATGCTGTGGTCTTAATAGCATTTTATGTAGATTTCTATTATAATGTTATTATAGCCTGGTCATTAAGATTCTTTTTTGCATCATTTACAAAATCATTGCCATGGACGTCATGTTCAAACTATTGGAATACAGAAGATTGTCGACCGTTTGAACAACAAGCTGGTGGACGTTCCTTAATGGGAAATATGAGCGATATTTTTATAAATTCAACAATTACCTCTGAATCAAATGTAACATTTTCAAATTTAACCACCACTTTATCTACAACGCTGCCATCCAGCGAGCGTTTTCAGTCCGCAGCTTCGGAATATTTTAAGTAAGTTTCTTTTTTTATAAATCATGCAATTAGAAATGATTTTAATTAAATTTCTTTACTTGCAGTCGTTATATTTTAGAATTAGATAAAAGTGAGGGTCTACATGATTTGGGCGCCATTAAATGGGATATGGCAGCTTGTTTATTGGTAGTTTATTTAATCTGTTATTTCTCCCTGTGGAAGGGCATTAGTACCTCTGGCAAAGTGGTATGGTTTACAGCTTTATTTCCCTATGCGGTTCTACTTATATTGCTGATACGTGGTATAACATTGCCGGGATCTGCGATGGGTATACAATACTATTTAAATCCAAATTTTGATGCCATTTATAAGGCTGAGGTTTGGGTTGATGCCGCCACTCAAGTGTTCTTCTCATTGGGCCCTGGTTTTGGTGTACTACTAGCATATGCTTCTTATAATAAATATCATAATAATGTTTATAAGTAAGTGATTATTAATAATTTTGGTAAAATCTATCATTTAATTCACTTTGTTTCTCGTGTTACAGAGATGCTTTACTTACTAGTTGTATTAATTCGGCTACAAGTTTTGTAGCTGGTTTTGTGATATTCTCGGTTTTGGGTTATATGGCTCATAAATCGGGCCAAAACATAGAAGACGTAGCTACTGAGGGTCCCGGCCTAGTGTTTGTTGTTTATCCAGCTGCAATTGCTACCATGCCCGGCAGTACATTTTGGGCTTTAATATTTTTTATGATGTTGCTGACCTTGGGTCTGGATAGTTCAGTAAGTTTGTGTTATGAAAATTCTATATAAAGATTTCTTCCATTTAAAACTCACATATGATACCCTACACCATTTGAAAGACTAGTCTATAGACTAGTTTATAGACAGAACTAAATTAGACTATAGACTAGACTATAGACTAGACTATAGACTAGACTATAGACTAGACTATAGACTAGACTATAGACTAGACTATAGACTAGACTATAGACTAGACTATAGACTAGACTATAGACTAGACTATAGATTAGACTATAGACTAGACTTTAGACTAGACTATAACTAGACTATAGACTAGACTATAGACTAGACTATAGACTAGACTATAGACTAGACTATAGACTAGACTATAGACTAGACTATAGACTAGACTATAGACTAGACTATAGACTAGACTATAGACTAGACTATAGACTAGACTATAGACTAGACTATAGACTAGACTATAGACTAGACTATAGACTAGACTATAGACTAGACTATAGACTAGACTATAGACTAGACTATAGACTAGACTATAGACTAGACTATAGACTAGACTATAGACTAGACTATAGACTAGACTATAGACTAGACTATAGACTAGACTATAGACTAGACTATAGACTAGACTATAGACTAGACTATAGACTAGACTATAGACTAGACTATAGACTAGACTATAGACTAGACTATAGACTAGACTATAGACTAGACTATAGACTAGACTATAGACTAGACTATAGACTAGATAGACTAGACTATATACTAGACTATGGACTATACTATAGACTAGACTATAGACTAGACTAGACTATAGACTAGACTAGACTATAGACTAGACTAGACTATAGACTAGACTAGACTATAGACTAGACTATAGACTAGACTATAGACTAGACTATAGACTAGACTATAGACTAGACTATAGACTAGACTATAGATTAGACTATAGACTAGACTATAGACTAGACTATAGACTAGACTATAGACTAGACTATAGACTAGACTATAGACTAGACTATAGACTAGACTATAGACTAGACTATAGACCAGACTATAGACCAGACTATAGACTAGACTATAGACTAGACTATAGACTAGACTATAGACTAGACTATAGACTAGACTATAGACTAGACTATAGACTAGACTATAGACTAGACTATAGACTAGACTATAGACTAGACTATAGACTAGACTATAGACTAGACTATAGACTAGACTATAGACTAGACTGTAGACTAGACTATAGACTAGACTATAGACCAGACTATAGACCAGACTATAGACCAGACTATAGACTAGACTATAGACTGGACTATAGACTAGACTATAGACTAGACTATAGACTAGACTATAGACTAGACTATAGACTAGACTATAGACTAGACTATAGACTAGACTATAGACTAGACTATAGACTAGACTATAGACTAGACTATAGACTAGACTATAGACTAGACTATAGACTAGACTATAGACTAGACTATAGACTAGACTATAGACTAGACTATAGACTAGACTATAGACTAGACTATAGACTAGACTATAGACTAGACTATAGACTAGACTATAGACCAGACTATAGACCAGACTATAGACTAGACTATAGACTAGACTATAGACTAGACTATAGACTAGACTATAGACTAGACTATAGACTAGACTATAGACTAGACTATAGACTAGACTATAGACTAGACTATAGACTAGACTATAGACTAGACTATAGACTAGACTATAGACTAGACTATAGACTAGACTATAGACTAAACTATAGACTAGACTATAGACTAGACTAGAACTATAGACTAGACTATAGACTAGACTATAGACTAGACTATAGACTAGACTATAGACTAGACTATAGACTAGACTATAGACTAGACTATAGACTAGACTATAGACTAGACTATAGACTAGACTATAGACTAGACTATAGACTAGACTATAGACTAGACTATAGACTAGACTATAGACTAGACTATAGACTAGACTATAGACTAGACTATAGACTAGACTATAGACTAGACTATATGACTAGACTATAGACTAGACTATAGACTAGACTATAGACTAGACTATAGACTAGACTATAGACTAGACTATAGACTAGACTATAGACTAGACTATAGACTAGACTATAGACTAGACTATAGACTAGACTATAGACTAGACTATAGACTAGACTATAGACTAGACTATAGACTAGACTATAGACTAGACTATAGACTAGACTATAGACTAGACTATAGACTAGACTATAGACTAGACTATAGACTAGACTATAGACTAGACTATAGACTAGACTATAGACTAGACTAGACTATGACTAGACTATAGACTAGACTATAGACTAGACTATAGACTAGACTATAGACTAGACTATAGACTAGACTATAGACTAGACTATAGACTATAGACTAGACTATAGACTAGACTATAGACTATAGACTAGACTATAGACTAGACTATAGACTAGACTATAGACTAGACTATAGACTAGACTATAGACTAGACTATTGACTAGACTATAGACTAGACTATAGACTAGACTATTGACTAGACTATAGACTAGACTATAGACTAGACTATAGACTAGACTATAGACTAGACTAGACTATTGACTAGACTATGGACTTCTAAAAATATTCGAACTTTGGAAATTTAAATAATATTTTATTATTAATTTACAGTTTGGCGGTTCTGAAGCCATCATTACTGCCTTGAGTGATGAATTCCCCAAGATAGGACGGAATCGAGAAATCTTTGTAGCCGGTTTATTTTCTCTATACTTTGTAGTGGGTTTAGCTAGTTGTACCCAAGGAGGTTTTATTTCTTTCAACTTTTGGATCGTTATGCGGCAGGTTATTCCATTTTAGTGGCAGTATTCTTTGAGGCCATAGCAGTGTCATGGATATATGGTATAGAAATCTTAAATTAGCTTTTTTTATTACAATTAACTAAAATTGAATATTATACCAGGTACAAATCGCTTCTGTGAAGACATAAAAGACATGATTGGCTTTCGACCAGGCAAATATTGGCAAATTTGTTGGCGTTATGTAGCACCCATATTCTTGCTATTCATCATAGTCTACGGCCTTATAGGCTATCAACCATTGACCTATGAAGAATACGAATATCCCGGCTGGGCTAATGCCTTGGGTTGGTGTATAGCAGGCTCATCGATTATAATGATACCAGCAGTGGCTATTTTTAAATTATGCACTACACCCGGTACGTTGAGACAACGTTTGCGCATACTCACCACACCCTGGCGAGATCAACAGGTATCGGTTAATGGTGTAACAGCAGATGCAACGCAAGTACGTTTAACCGATACCAAAGAAGCTTCAGAAGTTTGAAATCAACCATTTGCTAGATTTCAAGTATATTATGTATAGTATAATAATTAATATAAATGTAATATTTAATAACTACAACTGTTTTATGTTTAAACTTTAAAGCTCCTGAAAAAAATTAGGCTTAATACGGATAATTTTTATGTTTATAAAAGAAAATTAATGCTCAAGTGAAGAAACATGCATGCAAAACAATGTTTAGGGAATTAGTTTATAAGTTTTGAATGAAAAAAAAAACATTTTGTACACTTAACTTGAAAATTTAAACAACAAATGCAACTTTCATATACAACGTACTTAGGTTTCTAAAGAAAAAAAAAACTAAAATGAACCTTAAAAAAATATATAAAAAGTTCTTGTAATTATTTTACAAATTATTAAGAAATATTATAAACAAAATACATAAAATGCTGTGTAGATAATATTAGAGGGAATTTAAGTAAATTTATTACCAAAAACAGAAATATTAATATAATATGTATTTGTTAAATTGCTTTGTTAGAAAAATTATTACAACAAAAAAAAAAAAGAAATATGTTTTGAATAATTTTACTGAATATGCCAATGGGAAATTGATAAAATTGTATATACAATATCAAATAACACAGAAAGAGTAGTTAAAAGCTTTAAAAAACTAGTTAAGTTAAAGAGATAACATAAAAAGTACCCCTCATCCCTTTAAATAGTCGTAATATGAGAGAAATTCAAATATTTTATTAAAATATTGGAAGTTTGTAAATTTTAAACTACAGCCAGGTTTAGAATATTACAAAACCATTTTTGATAAAATATTTCATTATTTATAATGTGTATTTCAAAAATTTTTTAGAAAATTTCGTTAATTTTTGAGCAGCCATTCAAAAATTTTCGTTATTTTTTATCTTAAATAAACTTTTACAGCCATAAAGTTTATTTACAGTTTTATATTTTTAAATTTATAAAAGCTCTTTTCAACAGCCATAGAAAAAAGCTTTTGCAAAATGATATTTCAAAATATTCACTGAAAATTCTGTCAAACTTTTTATATTTCTCTAAAATAATAATAATAATAATAATAATAATAATAATAATAATAATAATAATAATAATAATAATAAAAATAATAATATTAACAATAATATTAATCAACAAATGTATAACTTAAGCTAAAAACTTGTACAAAATCCAAAATATTACTTTTATGTTCAAATATTTACTTTTTATTTTTTAATTAATATAAAATATATATTTGAACTCACCAAATGACAGCCATATTTGGTAAGTTTGAATATTATATTACTTTTACATAACTTAGTTAAATCATTAAAAGCATTCTAATTAACTAATTTATCCAAACAAATATTTGAATAAACAAACACAGCCATTTTGTTTAGTCAAATATTCTTCTTATCATAAAACCTCTCACTCAGTTGTTATCAAAATTTATATTCTGATACAGTAAAGATTTAACTTTTTTTTTAAATAAATAAACGTTTTTAGTTAAGCAAAATTGAAGTTTTAATGCAAGAAATTCTTTGCTTTAACGTTGCAAAGCCGAGAATTATTTAAGCCGAGAATTTTTTAAAATAGACTAGACGATAGACTAGACCACAGACTATAGACTAGACTATAAACTAGACAAAAAACTAGGCAATAGACTAAACTATAGAATAGACTATAAACTAGACTATAGACTAAACTATATATTAGACTATAGGCTGGACTATAGACTAGACTATATCCAGCTGCAATTGCTACCAGGCCCGGCAGTACATTTTGGGCTTTAATATTTTTTAAGATGTTATTGACTTTGGGTCTGGATAGTTCGGTAAGTATTATGAAAATTCTATAAAAACCTACCCTACACCACTATTGACTAGACTGGGCTATAGACTAGTCTTTAGACTTGACTATAGCATAGACTATGTAATATACTATAGAAAAGACTATAGAAGAGACTTTAGACGAAGCTATAGACTAGATTATAGACTAGACTATTGACTAGACTATAGACTAGACTAGACTAGACTATAGACTCGACTATAGACTAGACTATAGACTCGACTATAGACTAGACTATAGACTAGACTATAGACTAGACTATAGACTAGACTATAGACTAGACTATAGACTAGACTATAGACTAGACTATAGACTAGACTATAGACTAGACTATAGACTAGACTATAGACTAGACTATAGACTAGACTATAGACTAGACTATAGACTAGACTATAGACTAGACTATAGACTAGACTATAGACTAGACTATAGACTAGACTATAGACTAGACTAGACTATAGACTAGACTATAGACTAGACTATAGACTATAGACTAGACTATAGACTGGACTATAGACTAGACTATAGACTAGACTATAGACTAGACTATAGACTAGAATATAGACTAGACTATAGACTAGACTATAGACTAGACTATAGACTAGACTATAGACTATAGACTAGACTATAGACTAGACTATAGACTACTAGCTATACCCAGTGTGCTTCGCTACCCTCATCGTAATGGAATAAAATAAATATTATTGTAAATGTATATATATCTGCAATATCAAAAAGTCCCCTATTTAAATTTATGTTTATATATTCAATATTTTAGAAAACTCAAAAAGTACCAGTTGAAGAACGAAAAATTACCAAAGGGTCCCCTTTTATAGATTCTCATTAACTCCGGGCTCCACATGGTTAATTTCATGTTATAAAAAACACAAAAAGTACCTTTTGAAGAACGAAAAATTACCAAAAAGTCCTCTTTTATATGTTCTCACTTACTCCGGGCTCTACGTACTTAATTTCATGTTTCTAGGTTCAATATAATAGAAAATTCAAAAAGTACCTTTTGAAGAACGAAAAAGTGCCGAAAAGTCCCCTTTTATAGGTTATCACTTAATCTTGGCTGTACTTGCTTAATTTCATGTTTCTAGGTTCAATATTATAGAAAATTCAAAAAGTACCTTTTGAAGAACGAAAAAGTACCAAAAAGTCCCCTCTTATAGATTCTCATTTACTCCAAGCTCTATATGCTTAATTTCATGCTTCTAGGATCAATATTATAGAAAATTCAAAAAGTACCTTTTGAAGAACGAAAAAGTACCAAAAAGTCCCCTTTTATAGATTCTCATTTACTCCAGGCTCTACATGCTTAATTTCATGTTTCTAGGTTAAATTTTATAGAAAACTCAAAAAGTACCATTCGAAGGACGAAAAAGTACCAAAAAGTCCCCTTTTATAGGTCCTCACTTAATTCGGGCTCTACATGTTTAATTTCATGTTTCTAGGTTCAATATTATAGAAAATTCAAAAAGTACCTTTTGAAGAACAAAAAAGTACCAAAAAGTCCCCTTTTATAGTTTCTCACTTAATCCAGGCTCTACATGCATACTTTCATGTTTCTATTTTCAATATTATAGAAAATTCATAAAGTACCTTTTGAAGAACGAAAAAGTACCAAAAAGTCCCCTTTTATAGATTCTCATTTACTACGGGCTCTAAATGCTTATTTTCATGTTTCTAGGTTCAATTTAATAGAAAACTCAAAAAGTACCAGTCGAAAGACGAAAAAGTACCAAAAAGTCCCCTTTTATAGATTCTCATTTACTCCGGGCTCTACATGCTTAATTTCATGTTTCTAGGTTAAATTTTATAGAAAACTCAAAAAGTACCAGTCGAAGGACGAAAAAGTACCAAAAAGTCCCCTTTTATAGATTCTCATTTACTCCGGGCTCTACATGCTTAATTTCATGTTTCTAGGTTAAATTTTATAGAAAACTCAAAAAGTACCAGTCGAAAGACGAAAAAGTACCAAAAAGTCCCCTTTTATAGATTCTCATTTACTAAGGGCTCTACATGCTTAATTTCATGTTTCTAGGTTAAATTTTATAGAAAACTCAAAAAGTACCAGTCGAAGGACGAAAAAGTACCAAAAAGTCCCCTTTTATAGATTCTCATTTACTAAGGGCTCTACATGCTTAATTTCATGTTTCTAGGTTAAATTTTATAGAAAACTCAAAAAGTACCAGTCGAAGAACGAAAAAGTACCAAAAAGTCCCCTATTATAGATTCTCATTTACTCTGGGCTCTACATGCTTAATTTCATGTTTCTAGGTTAAATTTTATAGAAAACTCAAAAAGTACCAGTCGAAGGACGAAAAAGTACCAAAAAGTCCCCTATTATAGATTCTCATTTACTCTGGGCTCTACATGCTTAAATTCATGTTTCTAGGTTAAATTTTATAGAAAACTGAAAAAATATCAATCGAAAGACGAAAAAGTGCCAAAAAGTCCCCTTTTATAGATTCTCATTTACTAAGGGCTCTACATGCTTAATTTCATGTTTCTAGGTTAAATTTTATAGAAAACTCAAAAAGTACCAGTCGAAAGACGAAAAAGTTCCAAAAAGTCCCCTTTTATAGATTCTCATTTACTCCGGGCTCTACATGCTTAATTTCATGTTTCTAGGTTAAATTTTATAGAAAACTCAAAAAGTATCATTCGAAAGACGAAAAAGTACCAAAAAGTCCCCTTTTATAGATTCTCATTTACTAAGGGCTCTACATGCTTAATTTCATGTTTCTAGGTTAAATTTTATAGACAACTCAAAAAGTACCAGTCGAAGGACGAAAAAGTACCAAATAGTCCCCTTTTATAGATTCTCATTTACTAAGGGCTCTACATGCTTAATTTTATGTATCTAGGTTAAATTTTATAGAAAACTCAAAAAGTACCAGTCGAAGGACGAAAAAGTACCAAAAAGTCCCCTTTTATAGATTCTCATTAACTAAGGCCTCCACATGCTTAATTTCATGTTTCTAGGTTAAATTTTATAGAAAACTCAAAAAGTACCAGTCGAAGGACGAAAAAGTACCAAAAAGTCCCCTTTTATAGATTCTCATTTACTCCGGTCTCTACATGTTTAATTTCATGTTTCTAGGTTCAATATTATAGAAAATTCAAAAAGTACCTTTTGAAGAACGAAAAAGTACCAAAAAGTCCCATTTTATAGATTCTCATTTACTCCGAGCTCTACATGCTTAATTTCATGTTTCTAGGTTTAATTTTAAAGAAAACTCAAAAAAGTACCTGTGTAGAACGAAAAAGTAGCGAAAAGTCCCTTTATTATTAATTTCATGTTTCTATTTCAGTATCATAGAAAACTCAAAAAGGACCAGTTGGAGAATGAAAAGTACCAAAAAATATCACTTGATACCGGGGTTCCAAATAACACCCCATTAGGATATTTAGTGTTTCTAAATTTAAAAATTTTATTTAAATTAGATCATTGTGGCTGAATAAAATCAAATTTCCCGTTTTTACCCCTTTTGGTACTTTTTTCCTCCCCATTAACGAAATAAAAATTCTATTCCAAAAAGTTGCAACATCGTAGTGGGAGCCCGTTATTATGTATTCATATGTATAAGTTAATAAACCAAAAACAATGTTTTATGAAAAAAGTACCAAAAATAGGTACAATTTTAACCCCTTAAACGTCCGAATATCCAAAAAGTACTAAATTCATATTTTTATTTTTTCGTTAAGTTATGAAGGAGTCAAAATATTT